ATTCCTTCTCTAAGCAGCATTGACTTCATCTATTTCTAATCCTGTCAGAAGGAAGCAGGGAGAGGGCTTGTGGGACTGTGTTTATAAAGCCTACAGCAGTGTACAGTGATGTTCTGGGCCTTCACATTCACTAACCACCCACTCACTGACTCACCCAGAGTAACTTCTAGTCTGCAAGCTCCATTTCTGGTAAGTGCCCTATATCATTTTCATCTTTTACACTGTATTTTCACTGTACCTTTCCTATGATTAGACATGTTTAGAGATACAAATACTTACCACTGTGTTACAATTGCCTAGCATATTCAGTACAGTAATATGCTGTATAGATTTGTAGCCTAGGAGCAATAGGCTATACTATATAACCTAGATGTATAATAGGCTATACCATCTAAGTACAATATTGATTTCTAAATGTTATCTGTATACAGCAACCTTGTTGAACTTCTGGCAATTTTAATTGATTGTCTATAGTTTCTGTAGAGTTTTCTGAATAGACAGTCAGTTGTATGAAACATAAGTCATTTTTATATTATTCTTTTGAATTCTTATATCAGTTAATACTTATTTTTGCCTTATTGCACTGGCCTCAGTATTATGGTGATTAGAAACAGTGACAATGGGCATCTCATTCTCTTATATCTGACTTTAATAAAAATGTCTTTAAAATTTTACCACTAAGCAATATGTTTGCTGTGTGTTTTTGATAGATACACCTTAGAAGACAATCAGATTTTTTTCTTATTATAAATGAGTGGTTAATTATATTGAGTGCTTTTCTACATCTGTTAAGATAATCATGGAATTATTTTCCTTTCATCATTTAATATAGAGTTTTAATTCATAGGTTTTTTTTTTTTTTTGATAGTAACTTTGTACTCCTGAATAAACTGTAGTTGGTCTTTTCTTTCATTATCTTTGACCGGTTTGGGTTGCAAAGACATATTGGTATTATGAGATGAGCTGGGTAATTTTCCTTCTGTTATCTGAAATATCACGTGTGGTGGGGGGGTTAGAGAGAGGGAGAAAGGTAAAATTTGTTACTTGCAAGTTTAGTAACATTTTAGTAAAACATTTTTCAAACTCTCTGGACCTGGTGTCTTTTTGAGAGGCTAGTGATAGTAGATGCAAAAGAATTTTGATATCCTATTCTATTTTTAAAGATCATTTATCACTATTTATTTTCTAAGTGTATCACTTAGAACTCAGAAAGGATACTAAGTAAAGGAAAAATTGTATAAATACCACAGATGCAGAAATGGTATTATGTAGTATTTGACGTACCCACTAATGTAACACAGAAACAGCCTGTAAACATTGAGTTCTTTATTGTGAGGTGGTGGTGGTGTGGGAGGTGGAGAGGGTAAGGGAAGGGAGACATATTATTTATAAACTGTAAATCAACTTTCATTTTATTTTGGTTGACTTACTGTGACACATTAATAAAAATATACACATAATTATCAATATAATGTAATACAACATTTCTTCTGAATATTTAAATGTCAAATGAGAAATATTACACTCGATTTTTCTTAAATATGAAAATTAATAGAAGGTTAATTCTTCCTGGAGTCAAAAAGCCTGGAGCCACTATGCAATCTACTTTTCTCACTATTATTATCGTCCTCAATAAATTAAATATGCTATAAAAATTGCTGCTCCTTTTGCACTTGACTAAAGCTGGCAAAGTGAATAAACAGTAGTAAGTTAGATAATTGCTTACAGATGTTAGGAAACACGCTCCTGCTAGAAAATTGGAAACACTGAGAACTTTAATGCAAGGTCACCCATCAGCCATCACAATCAATTGCAGTAGAATTACTAAAGTCTTGCTCTGCCTAGCACTGCAGCTCTTAAAAACTAAATATTCTAAATGAAAATATTCTAAATGAAAATATTCTAAATGAAAATAACTAAAACTTAAGCCCCTAAACAGTGTTTATCAAAGTATGTTCCAGGAGCCATTTCCATCAACACATTTGAGCTAGTATTAAATATGCAGATTTCTTGGCCTGCCCCCACATCCATAGAATCAGAAACTGTTGGGAGCTGCCAAGATTCTGCATTTTTAATGTTTCAATTTTCCTCATTACCCCCTTCCAGGAATTTTTGTGCACAGGAAAGCATGAGAACATCTTCCTTAAAGCATGTTTGGTCAGTTATCACTATTATCAATTAAAAGTAATTTATCACATGCTTCTTTAGAGACATTTTAGAAAGCATAATTTCTACCTTCAAAAATGTTCCTTAATTATTTTTTTAAGAGACAGATGGGTATATTTATGGAGATTTTGTATTTCATAAAATTTGTACTTATAATAGTACACATTAAGGTTATATAATTGATGTGTTTATGTAAAATAACTTTTATTTCTATTTTGAGGCTTACATTTTTCTAAAAAGTATATAAACAAATTTTAAAATATTTATGTAAATATGAGTTTCATAATTTCATTTCATTTAAAGTGAAATACAGTTTTATTTGTTTTACTTTTTCTATAGGGGATATCAGCTAAAACAAGAATATAATATGTATGTTTTAAGAGCAAATGAGATACTTTTAGAAATTTTGATAGAAAACTTTAATAAATAAACAATAATAAAGTTTTCTTCAGAATCAACAAACACAATTTAAAAGAGCAACTAAAGGAAGTCTTCTACCATTCGATTTACTGATAAAACACTTTAAAAGGACAAATAATTAGAGTGGATGAAAACGAGGTAAAAGGGTTGGTAATTAAAGTATTTTGACAATTGAATGAGATGGTTGAATTAATGAATATGAGGACAATTTCAATAGTCATCTCAGATTAATGAAAAAAAAGTCAAATGATGGGAATAATGGTGGGAAAACAGTTTAGTCAAAACAAAATATGGCAGACTTGCTATAGACATTCATTTATTTAGTTATATTCATTTAGGGATGCTGATAACTTTTTCTAAGTTCTCTAACTTATAAACATATTATTCTTTCCCCCAAAGGGAATCTCTTAGTTATAACACTTGTTAGCTACTTTGGAGCCAGACTTCACAGGCCAAAAATAATTGGAGCAGGGTGCCTCATCATGGGTGTGGGAACATTGCTCATTGCGATGCCTCAGTTCTTCATGAAACAGTAAGTCTAAAGCAATCATCTTTTTCTCACTTTAACCAACTGCATTTCTCCCTTTTTTATGATTACAGTTAATTATTTAAACTTAAGGAAATAGCCCATGGTTTGTATCTTATTTTTATTACATCCTCTTTGGGCAAAATTTCAGAACACTTATAATTTACTTACAATAATCTGCATTATTATAATACACATCATAATAATATGTATTGAAGTCAACAAAATTAAAGGGATATTTTCACTAATATGTCTTCATTCAAATGCTTTAATTTAGCTATGGAGGCAAAATATATAAGCAAAAATAAATTAATATAGTACATAGTAAATGTCAAATGAGTATCAAATGTGTAATGAATAAATGCTGTAGACAAGATGCTGGATTATGGTACACGTGACTGGCAGATCACTGACTTAGGGATATATCAACTCAAATAAATATTCAATGTTAAAAAACTATTTCATAAAACTTCTTCAGTAAAAGTTGGATATCAGTATCCTTTAACCGTGAGTCTACTTTTGGTACTTTTGTTAGTACTTTTGTTAATACTTTAGTTAGTTCCAGAGATTTTTGCCTTTATATCATTTCACCCTTACAGTAACCTGTAGGGTAGGAGAACATAGTTTCTCTTTTTTTAGTTTAGAGCTAAAGACCATGACTAGAAAGTCTGGTAACTTCTTAAGGTTAGATGTCTTATAATTTTAGAACTGGAATCTTAAAACAGGTATTCTGATTACTTCACGCATATCCATGTTGCTTCCCTTCTCTGTGATTACCTATTGCCAACCCTAAGAAGTGACTACCAAGAGGTTTTGAAGCAAGAGAATATTTTTCAAAATTATATATCAAAGAATGCTTTAATTATTGCCCACTCTAGGTCATTATATCATGACTTTTTAGAGCTGGAGATGAAGAAACTTTGAACTGATCTGGCCAAGGATTCTCAGATTGTTTATATAAATATAGTCATATTTTGATCTCTGTGGCCAATCTGTAAAGGTAGAACACAGAATCCTCTATGTGAGATCTTTCCTACCTATTTAGATGGTTTCCTTACCCACCTCATTTTTACTTAAAGAAGAATCTGTGACTTTGGAACCTCTGCCTGCTCTTTGTACACCTACCGAGGCTCCTTTCCACAGGGCAGAAGTTTGCTTTGATTACTGAGGTTCTACAAAGGTGTTATATGTGGTCAATGCCAATGGGAGGAGGCAAAAGAAACCTGAGGAAGTGGGCCTGCAATTCGCCTAACTCTTGCTCCATCTATAGCTGTGCCACTGCTCTGTTCTAGTCATTGTGCCTTCATGCAGCAGTTTTCTCAGGGGGAAAGAGAGTTCCAATACTAAAAAAGTTCAAAGTTTGAAAGTAATTGCAGAGGATAGATAAATCCTTGACCCTTGACTTAATTTATTGCGAAGTGGCTCAGCAGCTCTCCTATATAACTTTGGGCATATTATTTAATCTTACAAGGTCTCAGTTTATATATTTAAAAATAAATACTATAGTTACTAAAAATAATATCTAGCTGATAATGTTGCAAATATTAAATGAGATGACACAGGTAAAATTTTCCTGACATAGCCAGTAGTTACGCCCCAATTTTGTATATGTATCTTCCTTAGATAATTAAGCCATATGGTTTTAACCAGAGACAAGCAATGGTTTGTTGTGAAGGTATTGCATTCAGATTAATAATTTTCTTACTTTAAATTAATGAGAAACAAAATACTAATACAACAAAATCAGAAGGAGAGGTATATCTAAGAGAAGGTCAGCTAGGCAGCCAGACTAGTGCTGACAAAGGATGCCAAAGGAACAAAGACAGATTCTTATCTACTACCTTTTACATGCTGAAAGATATATTTGTTCATTCATTTTTTAGTGTCTGCCATTGTCTGACACTGTGTCAGGTAATGGGGTTACTTCAGTGAGAAAAAAATGAAATAAAATGAAAATACACACAGAATTTTTTCCCTCATTAAATTTGCTGTCTACTGAAGATTATTAGAATAACTTGTTTTCAATCTTTCACAAGGTTAATCACAAATTGTATACTTGTCTAAAATTTTTCTTCTCTAAAACACTACTTATGCTCTGTTTGCCTAGTAGAAACACCCTTGATGTCCAACAAATTTTAATCATAGATATCAGTTATTCAGGGCCTGCCCCCAGCAGACTGTGTTTAGCTTTATGTGTGTTAGCTTATCTAATTCATGAATTTAACAAATATATATTGATTATTTTTAGAGGTAATGGTGATAGAGACAAAAATCTCTCTTTTTATGGATCTTATGAGGAGACAAATTAACAAATAAATAATGATATAGTTTGCCAGATAATGTCACGTACCATAGAGAAAACCCAGTGAAGACACATAAGAGGTATGTGTGTTTGGGTTGCAATTTAAAGTAAGGTTGTCAGGGAGTGGTTCACTGACATGGTGACATTCGGGAATAACTGAGAGTTGAAGGGGAAAGCCATGCAGATGTCTGTGGAAAAAGATTCTAGGTTAAATGAATAGTGAATGCACAGTTCCTGCCACAGAAGGTAGTCAAGTGTGTGGGTGAACTGTAGTGTAAAAGGAAATGGGAGATGTCAAAATTGTTTCTCAAACTTCGTTGCACATTTGAATCACCCAAGGCTCTTAGTAAAATGTAGATTCTGATTCAGTAGCTCTGGAGTGGGGTTTGAGATTCAGCTGATGCTGATGGTCTGCACACCACACCTTGTGGACTAAGGTTGCAAATAATTGCTAGGATTTTAGGTTCTCTTTGAAATGAAATAGGAAGCCAGTGGACAGTTTTGAGCAGACTGGCATGACCTGACATATTTTTAAAGGGTCATTCTGACTACTACTTGGAAAAATAACTCTGATGGGGCCAACTTGAAATCATGGAGAATATTTAGAATAGTGTCTATAGAAATATAACCCTCTGCAACTACTGTAGGATTTCATGTATCTGAATCAAAATTGTGTCAGCCAGAGTTTGAATCTGGGTTAGAACTGAAATCCCTGACTAGAAGACTTAAAGACATTATACCACTGGCTCCCTATTCAATCACTTCATTGTTTCCTTATCCAACAAAGCCTAAATAGGCACATCTATAGCCCACATTTACAACTAAGAAAGTTGAAATTTGAAGAGGTTAATTAATTTTTTTAGAATGTCATATATAAGAATTAATGGCAAAGGTGGCGCTTACATAAAATTCCACTTATTCAAAATCTAAATAATTATTATTCTTGCAATAGTTATTTTTTGATAGATTGAATTGAGAATGCTCAAATAATTAATAATTTTCAAAAAATTGCATAATTACTCTCAACACTCCTTTCAAGAGCCTCTAGGCTTTGTAGAGATATGGAAATTATTAAAGAAAGAAAATTATATTTAGCATGACTTCAATGTTAAATGTTCTCTTATTAGCTAAGAATTAAAAACCAGTTGTCCTCATTAAATTGTTCTTAACCTATTTTGGTCAGGGGACCATTAAAGTGATATAAGTGACAAAAACTATGAACCTCTTCCCTTAAATTCTCATATATATCAAAAATGTTCTTCTTTTTTTATGAGGTTATGAGATTCATGGACCCACCAAAATGCAAGACTGATAAAAAGTAACCCATTTTTTAACCTGAATATTTTCATAACTCAATACATCTTTTCCTTACCATGATGAATAGGTTTTTACTATTAACATTTCAAATACATTACTATGATTACTAGCCTCTTCGTCATATAGCGCCTGAATAAAATGAGACTCAAGATGATGTTGTGAAGTCCTCTTATCAGGTAACTCTTCTCTGAAGGGTGCAAGTGGGGCAGAGAAATTAGCTCATGAAGGACAACGTGAGAGGGGACGTAGTGCTAGGGAACTGCAGGAAGGATTATCACAGCCCTACCATTCAGTGTTGGCTCTTCAATCTTGCTGCCATTGTAACCTTATAAAATGAAGGAAGGGGGGAATTAGAAATAATTTAGAGCCAGATTAATAAACTCTAAAGAAGAAAGATGCCATTTGGATAAATGGTTCAAAAAGTCCATGCATCATCGTCGGTTCTCTAGAATCAACATTGCAGTTATTCTAATAAATTTACAACTAAATACAGTGTGCCAAGGGCCATAGTTGTTAAATTATTGCTTTTTCTTTGACCCAGATATAATCATGATTTTCTCAAGTGTTAGATATTTTTTCACCAAAGAAGTAGGTGACTTATGGTCATTCTTCTATGAATAATTCTTTCGTTTTTTTTCACTACAGTGTGTAATTGGTTCAGATACGGTATAATACTTATGAACCAGATCTTCCGGCTATCTCTTCAGAAAACTCTGCTATTAAATGATGGTTTGGCTTGGTGATTTAGATTCAGAGATAGCTGTGAACCCAAACTAAGTACCCTAATGAGTCATGTAGTATACATGTAATGTTTTTAGCATGATGCTGAATGAGTCTATAGTGAAGAAAATGTTCTTTTTATACAGGTACAGATATGAAAGGTATTCTTCTTTCTCCAATTCCACTCTTAGCATCTCTCCATGTCTCCTGGAGTCAAACAATCAATTACCAATCTCAGTTATAGAAGAATCACAGTCCAAAATAAATAATGGTAAGATGTTTTTACTTTATTGACTAGGCAAGCTTTTGTTTTTCACAAAATTTTATATTTGCTTTAGTATGAAAAAAATTTTTGCTGACAAAATCCTATCTACTTTAATTGAGATATTATAGTGCCATAAAAATTTTTAGAATATAAAACAATATATGATGAGATCCTACAAAAATATACAGACAATCAAATCTTATGGAATGACAGGAGTATTAATTGCTGGTGACAGAGGAAAACTTCCAGTGGTTGCAAATAAGGTGGGCTGTGAAAACAGGGTAAAACTAGTTTAGCACATATAAATCTCAGTCCATTGCTCAGATATGAAAGAAATAGATTTTTCCTATGAAGTCAATTTAATTTCTGTGTTTAGCCCTTTTTCATCAGAATGGCAAAAATTTAATCTTAGTCACTTTCTGCCAAACCTTTACCTTTTTCCCAGAGGCTACTTATATTCTAAGGAGCTTACATGATAGTAAAGGGGAGAGTTGTTATTGGTGCCATGTCAGTTTAGATATCTAATCTTTTTGGCCACAATGTTTGGTCATATATATGTCCATGTCCATGTCCTTTTTAGCACAACAGTTCTCTCTGATATAGAAGTGACAATCTTGGAAACATAGAAATAATTCTTCTTTCCACACATGATCAGAGTCACAGAATTTTGGTAGAATAGTAGTGTTCTGTGTGGCTGATGCAAATGACACAGCAATGATATGTATGAGTCACCCCTGGGAACATGGGAGTCACCTCTTCTGTGTTACACTAGATATTGGAAACCCTGTGAGTAGCCAAAGGCAGGAATACTTAGCTCTACTGTACAACCATCTCATGTTTGGGGTCTTGCTACCTCTCTGGGCTCTACCTGGCTACCAGTTTCTTTTCTCTCATGGAGTCCGCAGATCTACCCACAGGTGTTTGCCACAACTCTGAGATGCTGCACAGGCAGCACCTCAAACCCCCTCTCTCCACAGCCCTTCAGCATCAATATACTCAACACTTCCTCCCTGCCACCCCCATCTTACTCTCTACTTTTAGCCTGGGAATCAATTTCTGTAAAGGGAGTGTGGAAGACTTTCTTTTATGTACCTGCTATCCATCCAAATCTTTTATTTATACCATAAAACCTTTTCACTCCTCTAGTATCTTCATTAACACTTTTTTTGAGATATCTTTTTCATGGACAATGAACACGAGAAGTCTGGCTATTTGAATGAAGATAAGTGCCAAAGGATTAAAAGAAATGTAGAAATATGAGGAGAGAAAGTGGGAAAGACATAATGGACACAAAAATATAATGGATAATAAATTCAATTCAGATCTGCATAAAGAAGCAGGAAGTGAGCTAAAGTATTTGAACTTTTAGCTGTAGAAAAGGTACAGTCATTGAAGATATTTTGTTTTTCTTTTTGAAAATCTGGGAAGAGATGTGATATAAATGACAATACAACTAATTAGGAAATATTTAAACCTTTAATGTTAAAAAAAATGAAATATGGGTTTAAAGGCAGGAAATGAAGGTATTTTTAATGTCAAGAGATATGTTATTAGGTAGGTACATAGTGTAAGGCTCACAACTCACTCCTTTTCTTCCCTTTAAAGCAATAGAAATATGTGGACATTAGACATAGTGAATGCAAAGCTGATAGTGGGGTAAATATAGGACCTTTCTTAAAAATACTTTTGAAAGATGACAGTGGGGTAAATATAGGACCTTTCTTAAAAATACTCCCCACACACTCTCATTGCCCCCAAAACACCCTAGAACAGAGCTGCCCAAAGGAACTCTCTGTGCTGATGGAAATCCTGTTCAATACAGTAGCAGTAACTATTAGCCACATATCAAGTATTTGAAATATAGCTAGTGTGACTGAGGAACTGAAGTTTTAATTTTGTGTAATTGTAATTAATTTAAATTTCGATAGCCATGTATGGCTTTTGGCTACTATATTGGAAAGAACAAATCTAAGGTGTCTACACTTATCTATGACTTCCTCACAGACAAGGTTCTTAGAGTCACACAAATGTTAGAGCTAGAATTGACATTAGAATCAATTTTTGGAAAAGGAATTCACATTATATTTCGGGAAGTGGAATAGAAATCCAGAGAAGATAAGTGAAAAACTCACAGTCACTTGGCTACACTTCTAGAAAGGGCAGAATCAAAACAAGAAGCAACACGATTGCACAGTGGTCTTTTCTGTTCCACATCCACATGAAAGTATTCACCCAGTTCTTCATAACCTAGACTTCTCCTTTAAAAATTACCTTAAGGCTCACTAATAGGTGAAAATAATTGCTATTTCATAGGATTATTAGGAGAATTCAATTTAAAAATGCCTACAAACCACTTACCCCAGTGCCTGGCAGAATGGGAATATTCATAAGTGGTGATTGTTGGGGGTTGTTAATACTATTCCTTATTCTCAAGTGACTAAACTCTTCAAAGCATATGTTGTTGATGTTATGGGAATAATTATCAGACTTCACCTGATCATATTAAGACATGGCTTATAAAAAGCATTTTTAAAACGTTAGCTTTGAATTTCATTCTAAAAATAATGTCAAAGGTTCTTTTTGTTGGAAGAGTTAAACTACTGAAGCATATAGGATTTTAAATTTTTATATAAATTTGTTTCCTAAATACAAGCCCTAAATATGGTTATTCGCTATTAAATGGTTGTAATTATAGGCAGTGCTACCCAAAGGTGAAGTATCACCCATGTATAAAATTTTGAATTCCACATAAAACTTGGTCAGCAATAAAATTACAAGTAATTTCTTCCGAAAGATAGAAAAACTTAAAGATTATGGCTAGAAAAACTTTTGTTTAAAATTTTATGTTTTCTCCCAGATGGGATATTGAATGTTATTGAAATGTAGGAATTCTAAGAACTTAGTGTAAGTATAAAATAAAAAGAAGAGAGAAAATAGTAAGTAAGGGAACAGGAACAGGAAGGAATAGAGTTTCTTGGTCAATGTCTCTTGGGAATTTATACTACCTAAAATATTGAAGTTACAAAACTTTTCCCAGTCTTGCTCAAATTACTATCAAATTATATCTATTGCAACATTTCACTTCTGCATTCTAATCCAATTTGAGGACAACTTATAGAAATGCAGAATAAATATTTAACTTTGATAGTGATCTAATTTCAATCATGTTTGCTTCCCTTTCAAGAATGTGACATTGATGCCAGCTCCTCCATGTGGGTTTATGTTTTTCTGGGGAACCTTCTTCGTGGAATTGGAGAAACTCCCATTCAGCCTCTAGGCATTGCTTACCTTGATGATTTTGCCAGTGAAGACAATGCAGCTTTCTATATTGGTAATGCTCAACTTCTTCATCTTCTTGTGAAGCAGGGGACCTGGTTATCTCAACTTTGTTCTGAACTAAATAAAGTGTGGAAGGCTTTATACTTCATAGCCAACTCCTTTAAATATATCACACATTTCTGAAGTTCACACTGGGGATTTGAATAATAAAGAAACTTCAATTAGAAA